ATTCAGGTCATCTCCTGTGGTATCATTACAGGTTGAAATGGGAGAACTGCCCCTTACGCAGACTTCGGCTGATGATGACATACTGGACTAGCATTAAGGGTCACTCGGAAAGTCACCCAGTCAAGAATATTTTAAGAGAATGTTGGGAGTATGAATGTAAAGAATTTGTAAGTTTTGGCTGGATTGTTGGGAAGGAAGCACAGAGAGAAGAAGAAGAAGACGAAGATATTGCACCATCAGTGGCGATTCCAGCGATCCCTCCCTGGTTGTTTCCAATGCCATTTGTTGATTTAAACATTCATAAAGAGATAAAAAGCATCGACATGAACATCCCAATAGTTTCAGCTGTGCAACAATATATAAATCAAACGTATTATTTAGTATTGCAGATATACACAGATGGATCTAAAGACCCAGGGACTGGAAGAACAGCAGCTGCAATATATATACCTAAATTCAATATCAAAGTTGCTAGAAGAGTTTCTGATCATGTATCTGTATATACTTCTGAATTATTAGCTATATGTCTTGCACTGCAGTGGGTTGAAGAGGTCCAGCCTAATACAGTTGTGGTGTGTACAGATTCAATGGCGGCTCTGACAAGTTTACGGAGTGGAAAATCAGAAGCACGACAGGACATATTATATGAAATTCTACAGAGTATTTATAGGATAAGGCAGTTAAGGTTATTGGTTTATTTTCTTTGGGTGCCGGCTCATGTTGGAGTAGAGGGGAACGAGAGAGTTGATCAGCTTGCAAAGAAGACCCTGGAACAACCACAAGTTGAATTCCAAATTACAATAAGTAAAGCTGAAATAAAGAGATTGATATATAGAAGCTGAAAAGAAATGGCAAAAAAGTTGGGAAAATGAAAGAAAAGGGAGGAATTTATTTGAGATCCAGGAGCGTGTTGCTAGAGAGAGAGCAAGTTATGGAAATAGAAGGAAGGCGGTTATCTTATCTAGATTGAGAATAGGACATGTAGCATTAAATAACAGTTTGCACATAATAGGGAAACATGAAACAGGCAATTGTGATAAATGTGGATTACCAGAAACAGTTGAGCATGTTCTTTTAATATGTATAGCGTATGAAAGGGAAAGACATCAGATGTTCCAAGAACTGGAACTGATGGGAATTAGTATATCTCTAAAGACACTATTAGGTTATGGGGTAATGCAATCAAGAATATATGGAGAATTGTTTAAGTATTTAAAAAAGACAAGATTAATGGAAAGAGTTTGAAGTTAGAGTTATATTAATATTATTATTATTATAATTTTCTTTTATCTATAATAGTTTTTCCGGTTCTGTGGCAGCGGTTCTGTGGCTGCGGTTCTGAAACTGCTGGTGCTGCGGGTCTACAGCTGGATATATCTCAGTCGTGCGCCTTCACACTAGTTTACGGTAACGTTACGTCAAATACAGGTGCGCTGCGTGCTACATACTGCGCATCCATTGAGTACATGACCTGATCTATTGAACGCATCCAAATAGTACAGATCGCTTGACGGAGAGCGAAACTCTCAAGCGCTCAGTCAGCGTGTTTATCGAGTGAAAATCTGTGTTGAACGCCTCTCACACACATACTGGCGTGTAAAATCTAAGAATTTATTAGCCAATGGCTAATGTTAGACATCATTTAGTCGCCCAGAGTAAGATTTAGTCGCATATGCGAGTGATTTACTCGCAATGTAGAGGGTTGAGCCTACATTTGGCCAAAATCTAAAAAAGATGATGCTGTATTGGCTGTGACTAAGCGAAGCAGGTTATAGGCTAACGTTACCAGAGCTCTTCCTGTTTTTTTTCTTTTTGAGTAAAGAAAACGCTGTACTTTATTATTATTAGGCCTATTATAGGCAAAGAAAATTGTTTAAAAAAAATAACGTTATTAACCGTTATTTCTTCTATCCGAACCGGTTTCGGAACGGTAATAATACAGAGGAACGCAGGAACAGAAAAAAATATAGATCCTGCTCTGAGTGAACCGATTTATTTATTTTTTGTTCGTTTTCAAGCCCTGTTTAGAAATGTTAAGTAAATGATCTGATGCTATAATAGTCAGTCATGTTCTTACTAATGCAGCAGCATTCAGAAGCAGAAGTGATGCTGGGGAAGTATAGGGCCTACCCAAAATTGAAAATTGTCATCATTTATTCACCCTCATGTCATTCCGGAATCTTCTTTTCTATAGAATCTTGGATTTTTTGGTAGTTGATTGGAAAGAAACACAGTAGAGACAGGAAATACAGCACTGTTTGTTTCAGAGAGGTGGAGCTCTGTTCTACTTTATTGATTGGTCTGCACATTTCTTATCCACTACTGAGGAGACGGTGATACAAACACTGGATTTTCAAAATCGGGACAAGTTACTTTTTCAAGTCTTGATTCAGAACAGACCAGAAAAAAATGAAAGTCACCCTTGCAAAGCTGGACTGTAAAATAGACTGACGTGATGAGCAATTTTAATTTTCTTTAAGATTCAAGTTTCACCATTTTTTGTCAATGCCATTGTAAACACTTGACATCCCGTTAAAACGGGATGAATATAACATGGATGCTGAAAAATATAATAAAATAAAAAGAATGTGGGAAAAAAAAAATCAAAACATGAGCTCAACATTTTTTAGACTTCTGAAGAAAACGAAACCATCATATTAAAGGTGGTGTTATTCAAACAAAGCAGAAGCACATGAAGTGGGGAAAAAAAGCAGGATCAAGAGATGCCTCCATTAGCTTTCATCACATTTAACTATTTCTGCAAGTAACTAAAACTGAGCTTATTCACTTTCAGACAGAGATATTCAGATCTCTGATCAAGTGCTGCTACTCGGCAGCAGCTAAGATAAATGGTACCGATTTTATACGCTTAATCCAAGTTTAGAAAAAAAAACTAGCTCAAATTTCCAAGAATTGAAAATGCAGATAGAGTAAGAGACTGAAACATGAATATATCTGAAAGCGTCCCAGACCTCTTCATGACACTGAATAACTTAGATTACAGGTAGTATGATTTGAAGATTCTCAAAATTACTAAAGAAAAAAAGTGCAACAATGGTGCAGAGATGTATCACGTTTGGTACTTCCTCTTTTTATCTTTGTATTTTTGTTTTGTGGTCTAAGAAAATCACACGTTGATAGAACATACACGTTATATGTGCTCCTTTATGATTAGTAAAAGAGGATTTACAAGTATATTCTCCCTAGAAACAAATTAATCTTCAAAAAGCAAAAAGGTTACTGGGCAGGGGTGGCGGACCTTGTACAACTTCTAAGATAAGCCCTGTTAGAACAGTTAGCAACCGCAAAATAAAGATGACGCGCGTCAAACTGTCAGATATTCAACCGCAGGGCCAAACGCTCTAAACAGATCTGCAACAGGCCACTACTGAAGACTAGAACCAATTTGAAAAGAAAAAGAGAGAGAAAAACAGAAGAAACATTCATCTCATGTCTGAAGTGAATCAGACAAGCTCCTACACAAAAAAAAAGGCTGATGTCTTGTCCTCCTAATACAGCTGACGAATGATTGTGACTTCCTCCCTAAAGTAACAGGACAGAGAACATCTCAACAGTGCTGCACAGACAGGCTCCGCATCTGGAGGGACAAAGTTAATGAAGTCCTTTTTGCGTTTTATTTGGAGTAGTTTCGATTAGACCATTACTTTCAGATGCTGGAAGCTCAATGCTCTTCACCCGACTGACCACAATAATCTCCACAGTGTCTTGTTGCACCCACCGATTCATCCAACTGCGATAAATTTAAAAAGCAATGTTAAAATGCAGAAAGAAAAAAAAACGAGTTAAAGGAAAAACGCTGCAAAAGGTTACTCTATTTACAGACATTGATTTTTTCTTTTTTAAAGAAAAAAATCTTTACAGAAACAAATTTTCAGCAAACAAGTCTCTTTACAAGTTCTTCATCCTTTTGACGTTCACGTCTCTATTCACTTGGGATTTGTCTAGTTCTCGTCCCCAAATGGGCCAAAAAAAAAAAAAAAAATCTAAGCATCGGATTTAATCAGTGTCTCTCTGCAATGCTCTCTCTGACCACCAATGGGCACCAAAGTAGCACCAAATGTACGTCCTCCTTCCCAGCAGAATCTCACTCTCAAATGGCAGCGAGTGGGATTCATAAACACAGCGAAAGGAGGGCGATGGTGAACAGGAGTGGGGCATGGACGCTTGTGTAGGAGAGGGAGGCGATCACCTGCCTCAGTCGTCGCTGTCCGAGAGGGTCTCGTACTGCTCTGACAGTAGCGGTGGCTCTCTCTCCCATGCGCGCGTTGAGGCCACGGGGCCAGAGGCGCCACCCTGTGGCTGCTGCTGCTGGGACTGCATGGAGGGAGATGGGCAGGCCATGGAGGTGGGAGGGGTACTACTTAGCATGCGCATCGTCAAGGGGTTATAGGGGAACTGCATGGAACCTGAAGCAGGATGAAAGAGAGAACAATCATTTTAATTTTCAACTAATGTCACCAACAAAACAATTTCATCTAACAATACACAATCAAGTCGCTCACCTGTGGACGACGGCCGGTCCTCCCAAGCCCAGGTGGGAGCCTGTCTGTGGTAATCGCCCTCCGAATGAACCGAGGACACAGAAGAGGGCCGCTCTCCAGCAGAGTACGCCTGGCCTGGGTTAGGAGACTTTGATTTCCTGCTGCTAGCTTTGCTTTGAAGCTTCTGCTTTCCTGCTATGGAAGCAGAAAGATTGACAAGGATGTCAGCAGTGTGGTTTATGTCCTAGAGACAGATTTGGTCTGGTCTTGAATGAAAACATTCAGAATAGAGGTATCACAGTATTTTTGGTATTTACAATAACCGTGACATTTAAAAATTAAATTTTGATTGGTTGAACCACTGATGTCACATGGATTTTTTAAATGATGTCCTTACTGTGTTTCTAGGCCTTGAATGTGTCAGTTCTGTTGCGGTCTATGCACTGTCAAAAAGCTCTCGGATTTCATCAAAAATATCATAATTTGTGTTCCAAAGATGAACAAAGGTCTTACAGTTTGGACTGACATGAGGGTAATAATTAATGACAGAATTTTCATTTTTGGGTGAACTAACCCTTTAATACTGCACATGTGATAATATCATAAATAATCCAGCGTCAGTAACTATCTGGTTTTCGCATCAACACAGTAGGCGGTGATATTACAACTTATCACTGGTTGCCACCCATTACAAAACTTAAAGACAATGACGCCGTTTGTAGATCTTATTGCCACACAAAATCATGTTGGAAGAGATGACAGACAAAAGCAAAAGACTCTACATGCACCTAAAAAAAAATTATCTTGCCAATGTGGGAGTTTTAGCAAAAACAAAAAAGTTAAGACAGTCTGTAGGAAGTGCCAATCAACAGCAAGTTCTTTTCAGAAACTTTTGTACAGTTACAAACTCTCTCTCCACCTCCCTAAACTCATATTTTGAGTGTGATTCATTTGCCAAAAAGAAGAGAACAAAAAGATAAATTTAACAGATAGCATCATTTATTTCTTTTCTTTTCTATAGATGTCATAAAAATATGATTATCATGAATTCTTTTGGTTGTGATAAATGTAATAAAAATCTGATATTGTGACTGCCCTAATCCAGAGTGATTACCCACAGAAGACCAGTATTAGCTGTGTATTTATCACACACAGATTACACTTTTTTTGTGGCAATTAGTCAAACTAGTGCTGGGCGGTATACCGGTTCATACCGAATACCGGTGTTTATTTTTGTTATATTAATTTTTAAAATACCGCAATACCGGTGTATGTCGAACAACGTTCAGAACGTGACACTGTTTGAAAGGGGTCCCTTTTCACTCTTGCACTGTGGTCACTATTTAGTGTGGCATTTTTTGACAATATTCACTCATCATGACAGTAAAATAGGGCATTCTAATTCAATATACTGCAGCATTTCCTCTCTCAATCAGTAGAAAATATGGTTAGCACCCGGTCATGGATGAAAAAAAAAATACTGTCATGTACCGTGAAACGGGTATAATTTTGAAAAATACCATGATTTACATTTTTGGTCATACCGCCCACCACTAAGTCAAACCACAAGCAATCTGTAGAAAGTTCAGCATGTTGGTATGAGTTTTTCTGTTTTAGGGAAAATGTATGTTCATTGATGTGAATGTACAGTATGAACCTGTGTTAGGGGATGGGCTGGCCTCCTGTCGACCGTCTGAAATACTGCTCATGCTGCCTGAGCTGTTTCCTGTACCCAGCTGGGCTTGCTGCTGCTGTGGCTCCTCCTGCTTCTCCTCCATGTTCCCCATCAGAGCCTTCCTGATGATGTCCTCCAGACCCAGATTACTGGCTGGATCACTAAACGAGTGGTTTCTAGGGTTTACACTGCCTGTAAAACAAACATATATGCACATATCGGAAACACTGAAAACCAATTTAAGTGTTTAAACTATAACAAACACAAACAAATCAAAATACATCAAATGATGCAAGTGCTGATTTTTTTATGGAGAAATTAATCATACTGATGATGTTGTGAAACTCACTTGATGTTGTTACTGCTGGGAGATTGAAGATCTCTGTGCCTGGCTGAGCATTACCTGTTGAGATAAGGAGCAAATGGGAGTAAGAATTAGGTGCTAATCAAGTGGCAGCTGTCTAAATAAAAGACATCAGTGTAACAGTGCAGTGAAGTAAATTTCCTGAGCTTGAATGTCAGTTTCTGAGAAAACAGGCTTGCCGTTGTTACTCACCGACTTCTGCTTTCCGGAAGATCTCCTGCTTTTTGGACATAACCATAGGAGACGTGCTTTCCAGTTTGGTGAAGAATGAGGGGAGGTAACTGCTGCTGCCTGGTGACCGCGAGTCAGTCCTGACACAAAAGAAAGGTCTAAGGTCACACAATGCATATGGCATAGGAAATTTGGGTAGCCCAAAATAACAAAGACAATAAACAGACAACAGTTAGAGGATTCAGGTATACAGGCAGTCCATATTGCATTTAAAATATTTTATTACAACATTTAAATGTTCTTTTTAGTATTTTTTCTTCATCATTCTAAACAAAAGCCTGAAAAATGACATGTAATAAAAAAAAAAAAGCATAAATAAAACCTCATACTTTGAAGTAGAACCGACAATTAATTTCTACCTCTGTTCAGGGAGATCCTGCTCTCGTCTCTGACTCTGCATTACAGTGGCTTCCTGTTTATCCAACCCAGAATAACCCTGAGGAGGAGAGATGGGCTCATAGTTCTCTGGTCCTCTTCCTCGATCAGGAGACCTACCTGGCCTACGAGAGACAGATGGATAAGAGGCTGCTGTTGGGACATTGTTTTCAGTGTGTAAAAAGCATCTCGTGCATTTTGGAAGGATTTGTGTATGTGACCAAAGGTTCTCAGATCAGGTTTCACAGATTACTTAAAGAGGCTGTAAGCAATGTTAGTCCTTTTAGAACTTCAGCCAGATGTAGCCAATCAACTCTTTATTTTTTCAAAACCTGCCTGTAAAGACACTGTTGTATCAATGACAATGTTGTATTTAGAGACGGGGCAAAAGAGCAGTGTTGTCACAATTTTACAGCTAAAATGTCAATGATCCGATTTAACAACTATGCTCTCAGCTTCCTACTTCACAAAGGCTTGTGAATGCCATTCCTGTGAATGAGCAAAAACTACAAGATTTGTGATTGACTAAAGGAATCTAACTTTGGCCAAAACAATTAATTTTTTTCTTTTTTGGCAGATTACAGAGCCTTTAGCTGTCACAGAAGCATGCATTTAAGGGCACCCAATTTTTAAGTTAACCTTTACGGTCTTTGTGTTTTCAATAGAGACTGTTTGTTGGGTGTGCCCATATACAAATATTCACATACACTATCATTCAAAAGTTTGGGGTAGAGCAAGGCCATTGTAATGTTTTTTTGCTCACCAAGACTGAGTGAAATGTTTGGAGGTGTACTTACACACTGTGTGTTTGTGTTCATATGTACCTGGCTCTTGGTTTATCGGAGTTCTCGGGAGATACTCTGCTTGGTGGTCTCTGGTGGTGTGCAGTAGGAGCTGGGTTTTCTGGGCTATAGCAGTTATGGGGTTTAACTCGACCTACAACACCTCCCACACCAGAGCTCTGGAAAGTGGAGGAGAGCGAGGAGGAGGATGAAGAGGAAGGCAGCAAGCTGGATGATGGGGGAGGATCTTGGCTCTTGGCAAAGTCTTGCGTAATGATATGCTGCAAGACAGAGAGAAAAAATGAGGGCAATGACAGAGGAGTGACGTGACAAAGCATCAAGAGTATGAGTTTGACTTACCGAAATGTGGTCAGCAAGGGTCATGATGCGGTGTGATTTCGGGACGGGCCCATAACTGTCTGCGTGCAAGGAGGGGGGCTGTTGAGGTGCAGAAGGTCCTGAATCTCCTGACTGCCTGAACCGGTTAATGTCAAACCTTAATCCTATAAAACATAAGATCAGATCCCCCAAAAAAAAGCAGACGGGGGTAAACATTTTCCTGTCATGAAAATTATTTTTACAATTTTCAAAATAATATAAATATTTTTTCTTTTTGTTGGTGAAATGTAACCTGGATGTGTTCCTGAAATATTTAACAAGATTCACCCCATCTTGACAGAACAGACCTTCTGTTCATGTTCTTGACAGGCCAGGGATTTGAAGTCTCACCTGAGCTCTTTTCTGATGGGAAAGGTCCTTCGTTCTTCTCTTCTCTTAGGGCTGGAGAGTTAGCTGGGCTGATCACCTCGATTCCACCCTGAGCATCATAACGACTGGATGACACTGAACGACATGTAGACATGATGTTACAGCTTTTTAAGTAAATAAAGTTGGTTTGTTAGTAAGAGAGGGTGTGCCATCTACACCTTTAGCACATTGCCTTCAACCTGCATCTAAATAAACACTTGCTAGTGTTCAACAGAAAAAAAAAACGTGACTTTTGATGCTTTTCTGTTCATTTTGAAGACAACATGCCATTGTTACAATTAAATCCATCTGTTAATATCTGTGTGAATATTGAAACCTTAAGTGTGTATCATGGCATCACCACATAATGTGGCATAAAAAAATGAGATTACCCAGAAGTTGGCATCGAAACAACCTTCTAGCAGCCTTTACAGTAAGTCACTTAGGAAAGACAATGAATTTCATTCCCGTGGTAAGAGCTACACACCCTTTAATGGAATTACCCTGTCAAATCTGAGGTCAGAAGTTTGTGACTGTTGTCAGTCTCCGTTCCAGCTGGGTCACAGGTTGTGCTATCGAGGTTTCCTAAGACTATTAGGTCTCATGGCCTCAATGGCACTAGCCATCCTATTAGGTGTCCTGTTAATGCCCTCTGTTAGGAAATCCCTAAGTATATGCCTTGTCTTTTACGTTGTTCGATTTCTTGAATCATTCTTTTTGCCTCTGAGCAGGATATAAAGATGCTGGTGGCACTGTGACCAAATTGCACAAATCCTGCATATGGTGAAACATATCACTTCCTGTTTGCTCTGCTTTGTGGCATGTACACTACTGCTCAAAAGTTTGTAGTCTGTAAGATTTTTCTTTCTGAAAAGAGAATACTTCTATGTAGCAAGGATGCATTAAATTAATCAAAAGTGACTTAAGACATTTGTTACAAAAGATTTCTATATCAAATACATGATTTCTATTCTAAGAATCCTGAAAAAAATATCAGTTTTCACAAAAATATTGAAATACACACAAAAAAATCAATATATGCATTGATGATAAAAATAAACGTTTTTGAAAACGAAATTAGCATATCTAAATGATTTCTGAAGGATCATGTGACACTGAAGTCTGGACAAATGGCTGCTTAAAACTCAGGAATAAAATGTCATCTTCAAATATATTAGGGCTATGCGATACGACGATATATATCGGATGGACGAAATAAAAAGTGTATCGTTTCATATTATGCTCTATCGTTTATTTTGTGGTGTCACAAAATACATTGTTTACGGTAATACTTTTTCATCATTTGGATGACTGTGATCTTTACACGCCACCACGGGGCATGAAGGGGAGACAGAACCAGGTGGAGAATGACCAGCCAGGACAAAACGAGGAGCTCGTTCCTAAACGAGGGACTACATCTGTAGCATGGACACGTGTTTTTAAGCACTGCAGTTTTAAAACAACCGATTTTAAGCTGTTAAAACACAAACAACAGAGCTATATGTGCTGTTACGGTGTGAGAGGAGCGCACATTTTTTACTGCTTTATTGGCTTTGAACGATTACATAAACACACTTGTATGCATCAGAATCCCCGTCTTTGCAAGTATCCTCATAAACACAGTGATTTAGGTCTTAGGAGATAGTAAACAGTTGAAAAAGAAAACGCATATGTAACAGTATATTGGATCCGGACTTCGGTTTTAAAGGGGACGCTGTCCAATGTTTGTCCTGTCTGCCATTCATATTAATCAAACAACAGTGAGATAAAATCTCCCACTGCTCTTGACTAAATTATTTTTGTAACTTTAATAAGAAGAAATTAAAAAATAATAATGATGTACTGTGTGTGTGTATA